ATGTCACTGATTTTAGATCATTTTACTTTTAAATTCCAACGGAATAGAAGTGAGATAATTAGTTTACATATTGGTGGCATGATGACAGAGAAAACAAGAAAGAGTTCAGCCTTCATTTATGTTTACGTAAAATGGTGTGTTGAATTGTTTTCAGTTGCTTTTACTGAGTACTCTGTTGAATAGTAGTTGCGGTTCATCAAGCTGGCTTGCTTGCAATTATCGTTGATGTTCTGTAGGCAAGGGGTCTAGTGATGGACCAGTCGTGGACATGCCATTTGAACAATTTATTGTGCAACGTGTGAAAATTGCGAATGCTCATCACCTACATTGAACAACTGTCACTTCTGATCACGCATGTATACCAGATTTGAAGTGCATGTCGTTGAAGAGATGTTGTCCATTGTAGATTTCGGTAGAAATCGGATAGACTGTTTCAATTCAGCATCGGATGTTTCCTGAGATTGACACATTTTTATATAAAATAGATGATGAATCATCCTGCGACCAATGCATTATCGTCGACCTAGAGGGAAGTTAGTAAATATATGCTGCACCGATTCCTACACAAATCGTTATTACAAACTAGAACTATTGTGTGACACTGCGGACAACTTCCTCAATTAGGTCAGAATGTGAGAAACTAGGTTCTGTAGCGACGACGGGAATGGAGGAGAACAAGCGTGTGATATGCAGCTTATATATGTTGTTGAGCAGTAGTAGTCAGTGTGTTTTTCGAAAAGTGCAACGACGTTTCCTCAATGAAATTGCAACGATGCAATGTCGACCATTGATCAAGTTATCAAGGTTTCTGTATGCACATTCATCGCTTATTAGTGAAAACGAAGTAATTGTAAATACTATCGGTTTTTCTGAGTGTTTTTCTCAGCAGAAATCACGCACACAAGTGTGGGTTTTGCAGGTTCTTTCTACAATTTTACACGTGGCAAAATAGTTGACCTACATACACACACACACAAACACACACACTTCATCTGAATACAAATATGAATTTTAGTGGGCGTTCACTATCTTTCTTGATTTTGGCAACCTGCAAGTGTTCACCTGATTGTCAGCGTAAATTCACGATTCTTTCTTCCGTAGATGAATCCGGGAAACGTGAAACTGTAATTCGTCATCACAGTTCAAATGAATTTGTTGGCCATTACTCACCTACTCTCTTACTTATATAGACCTGAGTATTCACTCAATGGAGCATAGGCAAAAGACCAGCATTCTCCAACCTACTCCGTCGGGCGCCTTGCGTTCCAGTTAAACCCAATCGCTGTGCATTCTTTTCATGTCTGTCTCAGACTCTCGGAGCAGTGTGTGTCTTTATACACGGCTTCACTTTCGGCCTTGACTCTTTCAATTCAGGCCTTGCGCTTGTGAATAGATTCTATGTATTTTCTGTTCCTCATCAAGCCCATTTCTACGACAGATGATAGGCAGTCTATAAAACACCGAATTCTCGCAATTTCGCTTACTCTGACACTTGTTCTATCTCATGTTTTCGGCTGGTTAATGAAGGAAGAAATATAGTGTTGGGTCAGAATGCAGCTACTCTGTCCATACTTCGCTAATGATTTGACTCTTCTGTCACACACGTGTCAATAGGTGCAAAGAAAGTTGAGTGTATCCACAGGCTTAGCAGTGATTGGTCTTAACACGATTCTACAGCACGACATGCACAAACCTAGTCACGCCTAACAATAAAGCTTTGGAATATTTAAATATCTCCACATATCTAGGCAGCATAACTGATGAGCACGATAGGTCTGACACAGATGTGAAGGCGTTGACTGAGAGTTAATTGAAACCTATTACATCCTTCTTGCAGGAAACGTCCGTGAATATCAACGAACCATTCTGCGGTGAGCCAAATAACCATATATTGGAACAAAAGCACAATTCCTTTATCAACAAAACGTACAACGCATCTAAGGTTAACATCATAAAAAAAAACACATGGTCCAGATTTCACTGATGAGGTAAAAATCATGTGATTGGTTGCATCGAATCCCATTACGTTCAAAAATTTGGATATGCGTGTCATCACAAACTGATACTACTGTTTCCTCAAGTTTATAAAAAATTTTATATATTGAAATATTTTGTTTTTACTCTATGCTGCTACTGTGAGCATGGTTTTATAATTCCTTATCCTTTTGAGTTTCCGTCTTGACGAATATCTATTTGTTCCTGTCTTTTTTGGAAATAAATTGAGAACTCTTCCAGTCGAATCGCTCTATGTAGTATGCTAGACAGCAGCTTATGAATCCTTGTTGATTTTGATCAATTTCAAACTTGATAAAATCAACATGTTTGAACAGTGAAGTTAAAAACAATGTTGTAAATATTGTAAATTCATTGAATGAACTGTTTGTTACATAAACGAATGGAAAGTTCTAATCACGCTGTTTCTTTGCTAACATTGATTCCGCTGGAATAAAAAGAGAAATTTGAGTGTCTGGTTTGTCCGTCATTTCAACTCTTGAATCAATATTTTAATCAAACAAACAGCTAATATCAAACCTACATAAACAGAACAATATGCAAGCTCGCAGTAATCATAATATAATTATGACCAAAGCACGGTGACGTTCAAATTGAATCCGAACTATGAGGATACAACATAGAATGTTCATTTACCGAAATTACAGGTACTTTAAGACATGTGTACATACTCATTTCTGTCGTGTGTTTGCAACTTGTTTTATATTGTACATTCCGAGTAGATTCTAAACAATCTTCCCTCGCTTCACATAAGATTCCTAATATACTGTGATTTTTCTCTGTTGACCTTTTTCGTTGGTGACTTATCATCCTCCACACAAAGTTTCACTATACAGTAGTGACCTAACAATCATAGATTCAATACAGCAATCACATGATATCAAAATTTAATTTCAGACACCGACATGAACATTCGGCCTAAATTGAAATGGCAGACGATCAGTGAGTTTTTGGTTATGTTATCCAAAAACATTATCAGAAGCAAGAGCTAAATAAAAATTATATGTCAACATAGATAATAATCATATTACTTATGCGTTAACAGGACAGTTGATTAGGTAAAAGAATAAGTCATTTGTTTAATTAATATGTGTGATAATCACTGCACCTTGTGTTGTAAAGCGACACTCAAGGAGGGATCAAATGAGAAGTTCATTTAACGACCATAGGAAATTGTTCATAATGAACTTTACATATCATTGTTCAAGAAATGGTTTCAGTTTTTACAGAGGTGAAGAATGGGATGATAATAATGATAACTGGGATTATTCAAAAAATATGCCTGTGCTCACCATCTCCACAATATATACATACATCTCTATAACTGTACGAATTTCAGTAAAAGTAAATCATAATGGTAACTTTTGTTTGCTACGCTATATAATTTGAACAGAACTGTATCACTACTTACTAATTATTCTTCCATTATCCTAGTAAGAATAATGTTTGCAAATTAAAATGTATTCATCGTCATATTGCAAGGCTTATCGTGAACTGCATAAGGCTTAAATATCCATAAGCAACATTATAAAATCATATTGGCTGAGCAAACAATAAAGAAGCCGACCATAAACACCACTGAAGGTTCTGCTGTCGATTCTCATTTTCCAAATCGTGGATGAGCACTAACGATGAGTTTCGATGAGGATTGATTCAGTTTCTCTTCTATTCAGTCGATACATACATTCCACAAGTTTTCTTCATTGCTGTACGCCTTAATTAGTGGACCATTATACAACACCTTTACCAACTTTAAGTGGACAGTATGAATTTGTTGTTGACATACAACTACTTCACCGTGGGAGTTTAAGCAATGCCATGGTTAAATATATACAACAGCCTTATTTCTGTTTTTTCAATCTCTTTTATTCCTGCTTAGAAACATATTAACAGTGGTGCATCTATGGCGACCCCAGGCAAAATGCACCTTCTACGCGCGCACATCTATGTCACGACATGCATCAAGCACTCCTCGATTGGCATCTCCCAACAAATGCACTTCTGAACTATCCGAGCCACCCACAAACACAAGTGTTCACCTTCCCTATTTGTACTCAACGATTGAATATGAGTAGGAGGGATTTAACTGTGACCGATTTAGTCTCATGTGCTGTTACAGGTATGTTCATGAGGAACCTGAAAAGAAAGGTAGATTAGCGTTGGTCTTAACGACCTGGGAGCGTGACCGCACAGCCCAAGAGAAAACTGCTTGAGGCCGGTCATGCACGGCCTTTTTACAAAAGGTTTACGAAGTATCAGCTCAGATCTCAAGAGCCCTCATGGGGCAGCCCATACAGACGAAGATGGAAATAGGTTAGGGTGAGGTGAGATATGACATTTTTAGGGTCGAACTTTTTTAACATTTCCTTCCTTGTGAGAGGGCAGCATCACTACAGATGCTGGTTGCCTCAGGGAAACACCTTACTGCTGTCACACCCCTCTGCAGTCAGCAGCACGACTTCGCCCTCAGACCTCGAGTAGCTGCTTTTAGTCACATCGTTCTCCAATCGACCTGCCAGGCATGGTGAACCTTCAGAAACGTATGTTCCAGTCAATATAGCTCGGTTTAGTCATTACGATAACCAAGGTCGACCATCACGTCAAGCTATCAGCTACTGTTGGGTTACAGCTTATGGCGAAACTTCATCGGAATTCTTTATTACAAGTGGTGTCCATCAGAGATTTCCACTAGCCCCATTCTTCAATAGACACGCTGCTAGATATAACATTATCTTCGTCTCATTTCTCAGGAGTGGACCTCGCTTGCTGACTTAAAATATGCCAATGATATTGTTCTATTTGGTGAAGACGCGGACAAAATGCAGAGTCTTCTGACCACCTTGAGCAACAATACAAGCATGTTCGGGATGCAGTTTTCCTCCTCAAAATGCGAAATGTTGCTACAAGATTCGGTTGTATCGGCAATAAACAGTCAATTTTCTTACCAATCATAACCCATAATCAATCAGAGCAGTGCAAACTAGTTTTCTCCAAATACTTTTATATATTATATTCCATGAATTTATTTGTTCGTCACGAGTTACATTCTCTTTGAATCATTCAAAAGTTTCTTATCATCATTGTCTCTACTACTTCGACTACCAGTCTGCAAATTATCTTCATAGTAAACTAACATGACCAAAGTTCATACCGTTTAATTATAACTACCCAGTTGATTAATTCAGTAAAACAAATAACAAACAAAAATTGTAACAATCATACAATAAAAAAAAATTTGAAAAAACAATGATTGCTTAGTTCATTTTCTAATAAATAAAAATACAATTTATAATAAAAATTGAAGATTGAATTCAATTCATTGGCGGATAATTTGAATAATTCGATATGTATTCCATAATTGTTGAATCATTATTCACTATTGAATTTGAATTGAATATGGCGGACCGTTTTTGTTTAGCTGCATTCTTAACTATTTCCATAGCTATTTTCACTGTGACATGTTTAATATCAGTTAGTGGAGGGAATAAACGTCCAATGGAATAATCTTTATCGGAGACTAAATTTGCCAGAGTCTATCAAAAAAAAAAAATTTACATGCAGGAATGTTTGAAAACATGAACAAACAAAACGACACAATGATGCTTAATGTGTAGATTTATTAAGGATTTTTACTGACTGTTGTAACCAATTTCGGCAAACTTCAGTTTATTATTGATAAATATCGAGAGATGATTCACAAACAGTTAAGATATAGAGCATTCTGTTCGTCTATCCAAACAGATGCGCATAGTTTTCTCTGAGGAGCCGCTTCCCAAGGCCTCTGATCAAGATGCCTAGTTCACAAAACAGAGCAGTTAGGTCGGAGGGATGCATTCTTGTGGTAGTTGATGACCAATAATCCCTGATTCGTTAATTTATTCTCCTGAATCAAGGAGTTTATATGCAGTAGGCAGTTACAATCACAGTTTTACCTACTCTAGTTGGATCCTCTGTACGGATAAACGCGATGTCTGACTCCGCCGCATATTCGCTTTTCATCCGCTTAGTATCGTAAACAACATACCATACTTCATCAAAAAACATCAACCAAAATCATCATCAGAAGTGAAATCAAGCACAGGAACAAATAAACGCATCATCCTGTCATACATAAAAGACATATCGGAGCATACGGCACGACTACTGAAACCATTTGCAATACGTGTGACACACAAACCAACAGAATCACTTCAATCAATCCTATGTAGACCAAAGGACAAAATGAAAAAGGAAGAAAAACCAAATATCATCTACAAAATAAACAACTGCTCGAACTGTGAAAAACACTACATAGGACAAAGTGGACGACCTCTTCATCAACTCCGTTTACGTGAACATCAATTAGCAGTCAAACGCCACGACAACGCTTCACTTATATCAATACACACCGACAATTATGGACACATATTTGAATGGAACAATGTGGAAATACTGGATAGGGAGAGGACAAACAATACTAGAGAATTTTTAGAAGCTTCGCACTCAGGTCAATCAGCAATCAATAAACACATCGACATTGACTCAATTTATCAACCAATCTGAAAAATCATAGGCGACATAGGATCATGAAACAGATCAAAAGGGGGACATAAATCAAAACAAAGTTGCAAACAACCACAGGTCAAAGGTCAACAGCAACTAATCAAGATCGAGGTTAGCAGAACAAGCTACAGGTCAAACGTGGAGAAATTCGAATGCTTCACTCCTATCTGAAGTTTGTGCTGATGATGTTGTTCAGAAGAACAATGAAAGCTCCACAACCAAAACAACCAGCTCAGAGAACGAAACACCACCACAACATACCATTATGACAACGCAAAGAATAAGTCAACAACCTAGCTGTATATATGTGGCGCTATAAATGTACTCGTAGAGGGAAAGCAGATCTATCTAGTTGATGTGTTAAGGCATTTGAGGTTAGCTTTCAGGTCGTAATGACAGTTACGAGCTCATGTCTGAATTCATTGTATGATTTAAACATAAAAAGTAACTATCACAAGCAGAGTGGTAAAATTATTTGTGTATATTTGAATATACAAACACGATTTTTAAATTAATATTGATACGTTTCAAGCTAACTGACATCAATTTTTATTCAAAAATTCCGTAACAACTGAACAGTTATATTCTAAGCCTTCATGGAACGTAATTTAAGCCACAAAAATTGATCCGATTGAAGTATAGTAATAAAACAAGCCGGAAAAAAGTGTATAACTTTTCAGATACTACTCTATAAGCGATTAAGTAGTCAGTTGATAAACAACAAAACAGATAAGAATACTGATTGATAATCGCATCGCGTGCTGTCAGGGAACATCAAGACAGTTACTACGTATTGGTCACCCATAACTAGGAAAGTTATTTTTTTAATGAACCTCAAAATAAATATGAGTAAGTATTGAAATTTTTGACCTGTAAACATGAACTGACAGTTTGAGGGACAACAACTTGAAGCCTATCACGCACAGCTTTAACATGATAGGTCTTTAAAGCGACAGAAAAATAGTGAAGTAAGTTGGGGTGTAACATTTTTAGGGTTGAACGTTTATGAGCCCTGACTTTAGTTTCTAGAAGCCAGCACCTATGATTGTTGAAGCCGTAATTACTTTTTCTTAGGCAACTTGGAATCGCATTTTCTAGATTCTACACAACCATTGAGATTTACACAAAGTTGTTTAATCCATACACGTTACGTTTAAACATTCAATTTAATCCATTTGGTAACAGTTTTATCAAACTGCATTTCCTAACTACTGACAACCAAGTTATAAGTAGTAATATCAGTGTTACATAGAAATTTTCACATCGTGTTACTGTGAAATAACAAATCAAAAAACACAAATTATTTAAATGAATTACTACATACTTCAGCAGCAATTAAAAAATCTTCATCAGTCACAGGATAAATCTGTCCACTAATTATTGCCAATGCAATACTTGGAAAAATATAAGAATTATTTGATTGACCTGGATGACGTATAATTGGTTCTTTCAATGTTTCACATTGTTCTGGTGTTATAGTAATCGGCTCAAATGGACTTCCACTAGTGAATACACATCGACCCTATACAATCAGATATGTGGATAGAATGTTATTTTGTGAATATTAACTGGAAAGATTTTGCTTTTTAAAAGATAAATTCACGCTGTTATAGTATTTTTTTTTTTCTCGTCAAATTAATCAATATTTTGAAGTTCACTTTAATTAAATAACTACGTAAACTTTAGAAAGGTCCAAAGGTCCCGGGTTCGAATCCTGCGAGGAGCAGGAGTCGTGGGTGCGCACTGCTGATGAGTCCCAAGTCTTCTTCTATTTAATAGGGGTTTGGAGCGCTCAGATTAGGGTAGCCTATCATGTTGCCGCACCATCGATCCTCGATCTCGTTTACCGACTAAGGTGAACTCGTAATAGCTCAAGCATGTCAATTGACGTGTTCACGTGCATTCATAACAGCTAACAGAGACAGGGAGAGAGAGAGTGGGAAATGTCTGAACAACGAAATGTATGATGCAGTAAGACAGTGATAAGAACTCGAAACAACGTGAGAGTTAAAATTCAGTATCCTGTTTAGATTTCCAATAAAATTTAATCGAAAAGAGTAGAAATCAAGGAAACGAGATTCGAGAAGTATAATCTAGTATAATAGTTTTTTTTCGGGCAGAGTTTTGGAGGTTTGTGTTTTTACACATTTAAAATGGTTAGGCGTTCGCGCACAATACCGAAGGTCCTGAGTTCGAATCCTGCGAGGAGCAGGAGTCGTGGATGTGCACTGCTGATGAGTCCCATACACCAGGACGAAACGGCCGTCCAGTGCTTCCATTTTGTGATCATAATATTTGTATTTTATTACAGTTTCTATTTCTTTTACCTTTAACTGGGTTTCTATGTCTCTTTCTGTTAGATTCGTCAATAGGTACGCTTGAAGCTATTACGGTTTCATCTTAATCGATAAACGCGAACGAGGCAATGAACCAGCGTCCAGGTAGGCTACCTTGATCCGAAAACAATAAAAGAGAAGTCTTGATAAGCGTAGAAAGTATATTCTACAAACACCTGGCAATCATACAATACAATCAATCACACACAACTCTCGTTTATTTATGCATCATAGAAACGTCCTTGGAAGAGTCACAAAAATAGCACATTAAAATACACAGCAGCTAATCACAATCAAGAATTTTCCTGATGGGAGAGGAAATCTCAAGATCAACAGATCAGTCCATGCTCGCAAACGTGAAAAACCAAAATAAGGCGTTTATCAAGCGAGTTCTAGGGATCTCAGATCCCCAACACTTCCTGAACTACATTATGTTGTTTAAGCTGATACTTAATCATGGCGACAGCCATATTGATTGCCCTGACTATAAGTGTGTACTTTGATTGTGAATTCAAGCACTCTTCCAGAATAAGAAGCACTCTGTGTTATAAAGCAACCAAATATTATCTTTCGAACGAATCTGATCTATCCATCCAGGAGGGGTAGATGTTCATTCAATTTGATAATTGAACAATTGTTGGTGGATTCATGTATAAAAAAGCTTTAGAATAATATGCTGTTATTTCGACCAACTTTCAGAACCGCATTCATTAAATATTACCAGGTTCTACCTAGTTCTTACTACATAATGTGATACACGTTATTCGATGCCGTGTTTTGAGTCGCGATTTCAAACTTCAACAATGTACACTGTGTGAATTCCACTGTTTAACGATACAGATTACATAATGTTTTCCGTTTTAATGAAACAACAATCAACACCATTATTTCATCGGAATCGTACATATTCAAGACGGTTTGTACAATTTTAGGTGTACAAAAATCAGATTTCTAAAAACACCATTGGTTAGCTCTTTGTGAAAATATGACGAAAGTACAACATAGAAAAACTAAGAATAATATTAATGTTCAAGTAGCTTCTGAAATCGTCAATCAATTATTAGGGCGTGTTACGAACGCACGTCAACACATAAATTGATACACTTGAACTATTATTGTGGTGCGAGCTACTTATAAGTAGTATATGATGTGAGTGTAAACGTAATGTCTGGCAGCAGAAGAGGATGGGGATAAGAAAGGAAGAGTGGGAACACAATGGAATTGGTATGAAACGCACGAACAGTGACAATGGATTGATGTTTTGCAACAGGAACAGTTCAGTTCGATATGATGAACTGATATTTTGCAAATGAACGATTTACAATATGGTTTTCCTATTTTACTGAGTAACTCTGTAACTTCGTTTAATACAATTCGGTTGCCCTCACTTGTGTCCTCCTTAACTACATTATGACTTTACGTTAGTCAGCAAATGAGAGCGGGGATCGATGATCCGTTGACACAACAGGCTACTCTAACCCCAGTGTCTCAATCCCTCACTAAATAAATGATGAAGAAGAAGACTTGATAGGAAGTAGAACATGTATTCTACAAACATCCAGAAATTAGAAAGTCCACATCCAGAAGAGGATAAAGATTCCGGACCAAGGATCCGGGTCATAAAACGTTAAAGATAATGAATATATATGTACAGTTAGGTCGAAAAGGAAACAACAATGAAGTATGTGACATTGATAGTTAGGTCGACCAATAGAATAAGACTTACAAATAATTCTCTTAAGATATTGGATGAATATCCTAACAAAGCGATTCATAAAATATTAACCAATGTGAAATTATAACTAAGTCGTCCAATAGTCTAAGAGAATTATTGGTCAATTTCCATTGGTTAATTCCTACTGGTCAATTTTATGGTCGTCCTAGATCTCAATGTCACGTGCTCCAATGTTGTTTCTTATTGGTTATCCTAACGATCAGTGTCACTTCAAATGTTGCTTCTTCCTATTGGTCGTCTTAATTGTCGATGTCACAGACTTTGATGCTGTTTCCTATTCGACCAAAATGTATAAATACACATTATCTGTAACGTTTTATAACCAGGACTCGGACCGGGTTCCGGATCCCTAGTCCGGGATCCTGATTCTCTTCTGGACTCGGACCTCGTACTTTCTGAATGCTTGTAGAATAAGGGGTTCTACTTCATATCAAGTCTTCTTCTTTTATTTAATGGGGGTCGGGATAATCGGATTGGAGTAGCATGTCGTGTCACCCGATCCTCGATCCTCGCTCTCGTTTATCGACTAAGGTAAACTCGGCATAGTTCCAGCATAACAAAATGACGTATTTACGTGCAGGCGCAACAAATAGAATTTAATTACACTAAAATTATTGAATGCAACTTACATGTGTATGTATATAAGCTTCTTCAGCTGTACATTCAGCTTTCGTTGTTGGATTACTCAGCGCCATGATCACTGGTATTTCATTTAATTCAGCCATCAGATTTAAAACTTTCTTATCAAATACTTTCGGGATTGCAGCAGCCCCAATTAATGTTGTACACTTGGCATATTTAATAATCTAATCCGAAAAATAAATGATTTTTTTTTATAAAAAAAACTGTTTAATGTAAAGTTTTTTTGTGAAACCAAGAATCGATCAATGTTAGACCACCATCAGAAAGAAACTTGGATGGTTAGGCGTTCACCTACAATACCAAAGGTCCTGGATTCGAATCCTGCAGAATGCAGGAGTCGTGAATGCGCACTGCCACTGAGGAGTCTCATACCAGGACGAAACGGCCGTCTTTCAGTGCTTCTTCCAGGTTTCTAATGGTGGTTGGTCTAACATTGATCGATTCATGGTTTCAAAAATGTGTAACTGAACAATCTTCACAACCCCGTAACGCAAATTACCTGTGCTCAATAGTGACTAGCCTTGTGAGGAATCTTCTCCGAGTTCTAGTGGGAAGATGTAGCTCTCTGAGCAGTCTCATCAGTGCTAATGGCTCGGCAACTGACGAAATCTCAGCATGGATACAGAAGGCTTGATTGGCTATTGCAAACTTGCATCACTTATAGCGTAGGCGAGATATGCATTTTCTAACCAAAGGACGAGTCTACTGCACACCAGTTCGCGCCTTCTTACATTAGGTCTGTGAAACATGGCCAATCAGAGTTGGACATACTCGTAGGTTATGAGTATTCGATTTTAGATATCTTCGGAGCATAGCTCGTGCAGTGTTTAGGAAACCTGTACTACTTAAAGATGGCAAATCAATAGATGAAGTACTGAGACTTCATCGTTTGAGGTGGTTGGGACATGTTAAGTATATCGAACCTCCGACTGCCTCGATGAGAGATATTTTGTGGTGTTTGATAGAAACCTAGGAGCAGTCAAACTAAAATATGCCACAATCCCATGAAGTCACTCACAAATGAATTGAGCCATGTTGGTAGATGTAAACTACCTGGTTGAGTTCCGTGAGACGATAACAACTGTTTGTTAGAGATCTTGAACGACATGGCTCAAAATCTTCTCAATTCCCCATCATCTCTATATTTTTCTTTCTAAAGTTACCTCACTGAACTTTACTTCTTGAATAATATCTTAGAAACCGCCAATACTTGTACAACATCTACCACTATGAGATTCGAACTGACAGTTACGTCTGTGTGCTAATGTGGTATGACAAACTGAACTTAGGTACGTACGTACGAAGTCCTATGTTGTAACTGACTGATTGATTGACTTATACAGTTTATTCCTTTTATGAATTTAAGTAAGGACAAAACATCCATTGAGACAGAATCGTAAGAATTCATTTGTACTTCGTGGTTTTTTCATCAACTACTTACAACTATTTAAGTAGACTAAAGTGTAAGAAGAAAATATTATATATATTATATGAAACCATATACAATGATGACGGGACGAATGAATTATTATAGTCACTTTATTTGAGTTCAGTTTCTCATACAAACTACACTACACTAATCCATATTCCACGTACTCGACAATCAACTGTTTCATTGATTTACTTCTCAACACTTTGTGTAAATCTTTTTCAATCAAGAGGCGGCCAAACCAAAACATGGCACAAATCCATGAAGTCATTGACGAGTGGACTGAGCCATGTCGACTACCTGGTTGAGGTCCGCGAGATGATAATAATCGATGGTTAGAGACCTTGAATGACATGGATCAAAACCGTTTGTAGTGGTACCGATGCAATTATTCTTTGTGTTCTCTCAAATCCTAATCTTCTGGATTCTTCAACCCTTTCTAGTTTTGGCTTTCTAAACTCTTCTCACTGAACCATATTTCTTGAATAATATCTTCTAATCCTAACCTCTCGGATTACTTCTAATACCTTGACTACCTCTTCTACTATTGGATTTGAATTGACAATTATATCTCTGTGCTGATGTGGTATGGCAACATGAACTGATGTACTTACGTACAAAGTTCTACGTTGCATCTGACTGACTGACTGACTTTTCAATCAAGCATGTTTATTAAAAGTAATCTTTTAAAAAACCCCTAAGTCTAGACAACGGATTGAATGTTTTTGGGAGGAACTTTTCTAAAACTTCTCGATAATTTATCACATATAATCCATCTGATCAGTTTCAAAATTCAACTGAGATTAATGTCTCAGTTTATTTTATGTTTGTACTTGAATTTTATCATGAAATGAGCTCAATTCTGTTTACACAAATATATAAATACATATATATAGACAACCCCACATTCATTGGACACTACCAAACACCCAGAACTGTAACGAATGAACAAGAATCGAGCGTAAAGAAATCAATTGGTTCATACTAGCTGGTGAAATCGATATCAAATATTAGATAATGGAAAGAGAACGAATCATAATTATGTCTTATAAATTGGTTTGCACATTTGATTCGCACACGAATTATCAAACTTCAGATTACTTTTTCGCTTTGTGCTGATTCGTGAAAGTGTTTCACTTGTGAAGCTTATTGTTCATCAGAAACTCCGCTTAGAAAATATTTTTTAATCAGAAAAATACTTCTTCATTTGTACTCAACTATCAAAAGGGTTAATCACCTTCAAACGAGTATTTACACTTAATTCTTCTCTTCTAGAATCTTCCAAGTTTACTGCGAAAAAAATTATACTTTTATTGTTTAAACTAATTAACATCAAATTGAAATCTGTTCAACGTTCAATAGTTCATGTTGACTAATACAACATCTCAAATACTTACTTACCCCCAAAGGAGCATAGGCCACCCACCAGTTCCCTCCAACCAACTCTGTTCTGAGCTTCCCTCTCCAGTTCTGTCCAATGTTTGTTCATTCCTCTCATATCTTTCTTTATTTCTCGGCGTAATGTGTTCCTTGGCCTTCCTCTTTTCCTTTTGCCTTGAGGGTTCCATGTGAGGGCTTGTCTCGTGACCCAGTAAGGTGCTTTTCGTAGTGTGTGTCCTATCCACTTCCACCGCCTCTTCCTGATTTCCTCCTCCACTGGAATCTGGTTCGTTCTCTCCCACAGTTCCTTGTTGCTGATCGTGTCTGGCCAACGAATCGGAAGTATTTTGCGTAGACAACTGTTCATAAACACTTGTATCTTCTGAATGATGCCTTTCGTAGTTCTCCATGTTTCCACTCTATACAGTAGAACTGTCTTCACATTTGTATTGAAAATCCTCTATTTTGGTTCTGGTTGAAAGTTGTTTGTAGTTTCAGATATTTTTCAATTGTAGAAATGCAACCCTTGCTTTGCCAATCCGTGCACTCACATCTACATCGGATCCATCTTGATTGTCGATGATGATGCCGATCAGATATGTAAAGGTGTTAGCGTCCTCCAAGGTATCTCCATCAAGAGTGATTTGCTTTCATCAAATATTTCATTAACATTTCAGCATAATGAAAATTTTTGGAATGTGAAAAAAAAACAATCACCTACCTCTGTTAAACATGTTAATTCTGGTGTACCAATAGGACGAGCAAATTGTAGCTTATGCTTAGTTAAACCGCCAGCTTTACGATTTGCGACTATTAAACCTTTACTATCAATAAGATAAATATTTTCACGGGCTTGTTCCATTGACAAACCATATTGTTTTATTAATGCTAAACAAACAATTTGTACAAAACCAAGATTTGCTTCACCTGCACCATAACACACCAATTTCTCATTGATTAATTTTCGACCAGTTAATTTTAATGATGCTAACAATGCAGCTAAGACAACAGATGCTGTACCCTGGTAGAAGGAATAGTAGGTGAGATTATAAAAAAAAAAATGCACTCAAGTAGAGTAGTATACAATTATTTGAATAGAATAATAAGCAGAGAGACAGAAACATCAACAACAGTTTCTTTTTTACTTAGATTAATCAATTAGTGCGGAGTTTCATTGAACACAGATGAGTTATTTGACAACGCATAGTTTCACATTTTTGAAACCATGAATCGATCAATGTTAGACCAACCACCATTAGAAACCTGGAAGAAGCACTGAAAGACGGCCATTTCGTCCTGGTATGGGACTCCTCAGTCGCAGTGCGCATTCACGACTCCCGCATTCTGCAGGATTCGAACCCAGGACCTTCGGTATTGTGCGCGAACGTCCTAACCGTTAGACCACTAAGCCGGTATCTAACGGTGTTGATGTCTAGCTTGATCAAATTCACGGAGTTGCGCAACCTCATACACAGTCTTCGGTAGACACTGCGGGATGCAGGAGTCGTGGATGCGCACTGCTGAGGAGTCCCACACCAGGACGAAACGGCCGTCCAGTGCTTCTAGGTTTCTAATGGTGGTCTAAAATTGATTGATTTATGGTTTCAAAAATGTGTAACTTACCAATCTTCACAACCCCTGTAATGAAAATATATAGTTTTTCAATCGATTCTTAAAGGAGTCAACTTTAAATAAATGTTCAAAACTGTGAATTAGAGTTCAGATTAAATCTCCTTCAAAAGCTTTTATCAAAATTGAATACTCCATCATGATTGTAAGATTCATTATTTTTGAAGGCTTTGTTTGTGAAAATTCCTCCATGTTGGATATGCATTTGTAATTTGCTCCTAATTGGCTCCTTCAGTTGTACATTTTATTAGCCTGTTCGATTACATTTTTGAGGTGATAATAGTTGTATTTTATTATAGTTTCTATTTCTTGTGTCTTTGCTGAGTTTCTATGTTTACTTCTGAACTGCATTATGTTGTTTAAGTTGATAATTAGTCATGGCGACAGGCCTATCGATATTACAAGTCTCGGATCAATTTATGATGTAATCTTAACTATGAATGTTGATTTCATTTGACCTCTAAACTACTACTAGTAGTATACAACCTAACTATTCTTTCTTGATTTGTTCCCAGTTTACAGTCTTCCCTATTTTTAATCATTGTTGGTATGTTGATGTATAATTGGAATTTTTTGTTTTGTAAAACGGATACAGTTTAGTCGACCAATATATATACACAAAATGTCTGCTATAGTTATTTGTTGACTTCTGAACTCCAAGTAAAGCATAGAATGAAGCTAGCGAATTATAGACCAAATGAAATTTAGTGAATAACTCAAAGTGAACTAATTAGTGCTAGTCCGTTGTGTAATTGGTCTACTTAGATAAATCAAAACTATACAGTAAATAGTGAACGTGTGATAAATCAATTTAGAGTTGTTAATCTGACTGGGGATGCATTACTAGATATCACAATTTATAAAATCATTCAGAAATTTTCACAATGATATAAATTTACTCCGTATATTGTCAAGGGCAATTTTACATTGGTTTTGCAGGAGAACCAAAGAGACTGGACACGTTTTACCATTAGTACATGAACAGTTCGGCTCAATCCTGTGGTGCAACTAACACACAGGTTCCTGATACCCTGGTGGACCATTCACACCAGTTACATATATACACACAATGGTATATATATTTCCGATCAATGATCGCGTCAATCAATATGCACCGCATGAACACAGGTCAATCCAACACATCCTGCTTACATGACTGTCAAACTCATTATTATTAGCAATGGTGATTTGCTGCACTACAGCACCCCAATGACAATGGCTCTTGGGAATGTCACAAAACAACCACCATCAATATCAATGAAATCGGTCACCCTGTGAACCGATTTTGTTTATGGACTGTTAACAATGCTTACCAAAACAAAGCAAAGCCATCCACAATATTCACAACGAACCTCTAAGCTCATAGGAGACCTTCAGCTCTATATAGAAGTACAGCATATGGTGTACACATATATGGCGTAGGATAGTAGAAGAGGCAGCCCAGCTTACTGCACTTCTATTACACTTTGTCTCATGTCGTGCAATGATTTTTTCCCGTTTCCGAAATTTTCATTTTTCGACCATATAAGACCTGGGAGTTAGAGGGGTAGTATCCCTTATGAAATAATTGTTTTCTGCCAAAACTTCCATAGACTTAAACAACATGATCTTTTTCTTAATTTTATAGTTATTATCGAAGGAGAAGCGATCAATAAGGACAATATTTATCATAATGCTGGAATGAATCAAGCCACATATAATTCACAAGTAACAAATTGAAAGAAACATATAGCCTGGATTCTACCATTAGCCACATCCCATCTAATCCTATATCAAAATTCGTTGTAGTTGTAATAGTAGTAGTAGTGTGGTGCGAGCTACTTATAAGTAGTATATGACGTGAGCGCCAACGTAATGTCTGGCAGCCAAAGATGGGGGAAAATCAAGAAAGGAAGAGTTCGGAACACAATGGAATTTGTATGAAACGCATGAATAGTGACAATCGATTGATGTTTTGCAACAGGAACAGTCCAGTTCGATATGATGAACTGATAGTTTGCAAATTAACGATTTACGATATGGTTTTCCGATTTTACTGAGTAACTCTGTGATTTCCGTTAAATAAAACCTGGTTGTCCCACCTGTGTTCTCCTTCACTACAGTAGTGATAGTAGTAGTCGTGGTAGTAGTAGTAGTCAGAGTATTAGTAGTAGTAGTATTAGTAGTAGTAACATATAGTAGTATAATAATGTAAACAGATATTTTTTATCGATTTCTTTAATGACTAAACTATCATCAACTTACTTGTATATCATCATTGAATGTACAATAGTGCGCAGAATATTTTTGTAATAAACGAAATGCATTTTGATTAGCAAAATCTTCAAATTGTATTAGAACATGTTGACCAAATCTAAAAATATGTACATATATATATATATATATATATATATATATATATATATATATATATATATTTGAGAAAAAGAGATTACACTTATAGAATTATTCCAGACTGGAATCATGAATTGATCAATGTTGGATAATTAATTTGCGCAACCCTGAAAATGACTGTTTTGACTTGAAGTATGGGAGTCAACCGTAATGCCCACCTACAATCCTCACTCGTACATTGCATTGAAGACATTCGGGTCTCTCACGTACAAACACTGAACCACTAGACCTTTGAGCCAACTTTGATTACCGTCTCACTTCAGTCTTAACTGGACGTCAGGTGCTGAATGTATATTGTCATATGAGATTTTGAGGAAGAATGATAAAAGTAGGAAATTTGCTTGATACTGATTGAGTGCATCAAGAATTAGTAATATGTGGCAGAGAGTTGAGTGGAAGTTGATTATGTTAGGATATTCATCAAATATCCTAAGAGAATTATTTGTAAGTTTAATGCTCTTGGTCAATTCCTATTGGTCATCTTAACTATCAATGTCATTTACTTCAAATGTTGTCTCCTATTCGATCTAACTGTATAAATACAGTTATGGTCGAATAAGAGACAACATTTGAAGTATATGACATTGATAGTTAAGAGTTAAGATGACCATGATCATTAAACTTACAAATAATTCTCTTAAGGATATTTGATGAATATCCTAACATAAGCAACTGTCCACTCAACTCTCGCCACATATTACTAATTCTTGATGCACTCAATCAGTATCAAGCAAATTTCCTACTTTTATCATTCTTCCTCAAAAATCTCATATTGACAATATACATTCAGCACCTGACCGCCAGTTAATATTGAAGTTAAACGTTATTCGACGTTGCTCTAAGGGTCTAGTGGCTCAGGCAGTTCGTACGTGAGAGACGCCGAATGTCTTCAATGCAATGTACGAGTGCGGATTGTAGGTGGGCATTACGGTTGACTCTCATACTTCAAGTCAAAACATTCAGGGTTGCGCAAATTAATTATCCAACATTGAAACAATTCATGATTCCAGTCTGGAATAATTCTATAAGTGTAATCTCTTTTTTCTCAAATATATATATATATATATATATATATATATATATATATATTATGTACATATTTTTAGATTTGGTCACATGATGTTCTAATACAATTTGAAGATTTTGCTAATCAGAATGCATTTCGTTTATTACAAAAATATTCTGCGCACTATTGTACATTCAATGATGATATACAAGTAAGTTGATGATAGTTTAGTCATTAAAGAAATCGATAAAAAAATATCTGTTTACATTATTATACTACTAAATGTTACTACTACTAATACTACTACTACTAATACTCTGACTACTACTACTACCACGACTACTACTATCACTACTGTATGATGAAGGAGAACACAGGTGGGAAGCAACCAGGTTTTATTTAACGGAAATCACAGAGTTACTCAGTAAACATCGGAAAACCATATCGTAAATTCGTTAATTTGCAAAATATCAGTTCATCATATCGAACTGGACTGTTCCTGTTGCAAAACATCAATCCATTGTCACTATTCATGCGTTTCATACAAATTCCATTGTGTTCCGAACTCTTCCTTTCTTGATCTTCCCCCATCTTCTGCTGCCAGACATTACGTTGGCGCTCACGTCATATACTACTTATAAGTAGCTAGCACCACACTACTACTACTATTACAACTACAACGAATTTTGATATAGGATTAGATGGGATGTGGCTAATGGTAGAATCCAGGCTATATGTTTCTTTCAATTTGTTACTTGTGAATTATATGTGGCTTGATTCATTCCAGCAT